CCCCCCCCCCCCCCCCATCTCCATTTCCCTGTTTACACCACAGGGCGACCTCGCCCTCCGGTCGTGTGTTTCCTGGGCATTTATTTATGCTTGCATTTCTTTTCCATGTCTATCGGTGTCTTTTTAAAATTACCTGTTAGTTTTGTTTCTTTCTTTAATTCTGCTTTTCCATGACAAAAGAGAGGCACCTTTTTTTTTTTCTTTTTTTTTCTTTTTTTCCTCGTCATCCTGGGTAAAAGTTATTTTGCAAATGAAAATGGATCCTTAATCCAGCTTGACACACTGTTTTTATTTTAATTTAAGTTTGGTTACCTCCGTGAGCCTGTAAACAAAACTTCTTGTTCTTGTAAATGCTGTCTCTTAAATTCCTCCTAATTATAACACTGGTGCTATTGATTCAAGATTCTGTAGAAGAAATGCAACCTAAGGGTGCCTCGCCATTTAATTTCCATTAAATGGAAAACAGATCAGCTTAGGACTGTAAATAAACAGAAGTTGCCTACGGATGCTTTTGTTGACTCAGCGCTGTTGACAGCAGATGAATGCACCAGGAATTGTAAATGGGAGAAAAACCAAAGACGCTGAAATTAGACGACTTAAAATAATGAGAAATGCAGAATAAAAGGGCTACATTTTTCAGTTATTTGCAAGCAGTTAAATGGAACAGATCCCGGTGGGAAGCAGTTAAGTGAAGAGTGTATTTTGATTCACACTGGCATTGCTAGGAGCTAGAGGTTGTGGCTAGCTGCTCAGCCCAGGACTTTTTCCCCCCCCCCCCCCCCCATCTCCATTTCCCTGTTTACACCACAGGGCGACCTCGCCCTCCGGTCGTGTGTTTCCTGGGCATTTATTTATGCTTGCATTTCTTTTCCATGTCTATCGGTGTCTTTTTAAAATTACCTGTTAGTTTTGTTTCTCTTTTTAATTCTGCTTTTCCATGACAAAAGAGAGGCACCTTTTTTTTTTTCTTTTTTTTTCTTTTTTTCCTCGTCATCCTGGGTAAAAGTTATTTTGCAAATGAAAATGGATCCTTAATCCAGCTTGACACACTGTTTTTATTTTAATTTAAGTTTGGTTACCTCCGTGAGCCTGTAAACAAAACTTCTTGTTCTTGTAAATGCTGTCTCTTAAATTCCTCCTAATTATAACACTGGTGCTATTGATTCAAGATTCTGTAGAAGAAATGCAACCTAAGGGTGCCTCGCCATTTAATTTCCATTAAATGGAAAACAGATCAGCTTAGGACTGTAAATAAACAGAAGTTGCCTACGGATGCTTTTGTTGACTCAGCGCTGTTGACAGCAGATGAATGCACCAGGAATTGTAAATGGGAGAAAAACCAAAGACGCTGAAATTAGACGACTTAAAATAATGAGAAATGCAGAATAAAAGGGCTACATTTTTCAGTTATTTGCAAGCAGTTAAATGGAACAGATCCCGGTGGGAAGCAGTTAAGTGAAGAGTGTATTTTGATTCACACTGGCATTGCTAGGAGCTAGAGGTTGTGGCTAGCTGCTCAGCCCAGGACTTTTTGCCCTTATCCTCAAATCAGGCGTTCTTTGGGTTTCGGGTGGAATAAACGGGCGCAGAAGAATATTCACAACACGCTGGGGAACCTAAAAACTATTTGTTGCCTCTTAAAAAAATTAAAATTTAACTGCAATGTACCCCTAAGCCTTGACGAAGAAAGAACCAGCACTTTAAAGCTTATTTTGGCTTTTAGATGGAAAAGGGACTTAAGTTTCGAGCGGAGGGAAACGCTGTGTTCCACCATCGCAATTTTTAATTGTATTTTATCGATGGGTCTGCGTCCCTGGGACAGAACCTTCCTCCATTCTTGCCGCAGATCCCAGAATATTTATCTGTGCGCTGGAAGATATTTAGACATATATTTGCCAGAACACATAACAAGGGTCCTGTGCCATTCTTTCCCTCTCTGGACCGGTCCTTGCAGTTTTCCGAGGTGGCCAGGCATTGCAGGAGCTGACACAAGACACGGTTTTCTCCTAGGCCCGCGGTGCTGTGGGGATCAATGGCTATCCGGGAAAAGGGAAGGAAGGCGCTGCTCGTGTTTTTCAAAGCACGGGACAGAGAAACGCTTTGCCACCCTCCCCCCCCTTCCCGTCAACGTCCCCTTCCGAACACCGATCCCTAGATTGGTGTTTGCGCTGCCTGCAGCGTGTGTGTCTCCCC